TTTTTTTTTTCTTTTTTATTGTTGTTGTTTTATATATTTCAATGACTATTTCAAAGAATTCATCTACAAACAGAATAAAAAGACTGAAAGAAATTATAATATTCTTATTGAGGTAACTTTGGACCCATTAGACTTTATGCATTCTATAGACCTCTGTCACTGATTTAGTAACTATTCAACTCTGCCATCGGCTCTTTTCCACCTTTTGTTGTTTGCGTAAGCCATAACAGATTGCTGAAGTTGATTAATTCTTAATTATCAAGTACAGGTACTAATGGTAGCTGTCACTTCTTCGTTGAATTTTGACATATGTTGTCAACAATGTTACCAAGTTTTATATGTTCGTTTCCGGTTTGTCTTCTTTTCTTGACTAGTACTCAAACATGTTTTGCTTTTATAGTGCCTCAAACAGCGGTTCAGTTAAAGGTATTAACTTGATTTAGTGGCGTCTTTGCTCTTTATGCTTTACGTATGTTCATTTAATCAAACAAATATGAGATGGTTGTCATCTGTTTTACTGCACCTAAGTTCATGTGAGTGAGTGTATTCAGGATGATAAAAAGTTTCTAAAATCAACAGTTGCTAATGTAAAAAAAATGTTTATCAACTTCTTTTTGGTGAACAGTTACGTTATCCATCAAGAAACAACTTTTTTTGCCCTTTTGTTTTTTAAGGTTGTTCTTAGCTGTTTCACGAGACGATTTGCTTGAATTTTTTACTGAATATTTATAAAATTGTCGTCACGCTATTGACTTCCTTACAGTCAACAACAACGATACAACAATAACAACAGTTATGAAAGTAGCGAAAAATCAGACTAGGCTTGAATAAAATATAATAAAACTAACTAAATTTTTTGTCTCAAAAGCAGTCAAGCACTGTTTATTGTGCCTAAGAAACTTTCGTCAACACACATTTAGTTTTTTCTTCTTTTATGGAAAAAATTTTTCAAGTTGTTAATTCCCTTTTTCAAATCACAAAAGTTCCTTGAAATTCCAGTGATTTAAGCACAGTTACCCGATATATAACAGAAGCAATTTTGAACGCATAACACCAATCAAATGCATTTCCCATTTCATTAGTTTAACATCAAATCTAATCTTATTTCTGACCTTTGATTATCTTATAACAAACTACTCATTTG